CCCCCCCCCCCCTTTTTGGTAGCAAAATTAACCTGAACTTTTTATTTTTCCAAAAATTAATATTTGCTTTGGCCCACAGTCCCGATCTTGATGAGCTCCAACATTGAAATACGGCTCCTGACCCGTATTTCCATTGCTCCGGAGAAACCAGCTCCAGTTGGGGGTTTCACCGAAAATCGAGATTTTACGAGATTTTACGGAGCTACCAAAATACGAGGTTGGCAGCTGAACGCCCCAGTGAGATGCATTTTGTGCATTTTTTCTGCGTTTTTGAGGCCAAAATTAGAGGATTATTTTGCTTTTTGTTTAGTTTTTATGTGCAATTTTTCTCCAGCTCCCGAGCCTAGAGCTCTGGTCACAAAATACGGGGTTTTGGATGGAGCTGAAAAAATCTGGTGAATCCTGTGATTGGTCCTTCTGAAAATTGGCGTGGATGGTCCACAGTGCTGACGGAGCTCTTCGGCAGCGCTATCTTTTGTCACACTCGACCTCATTTCGCGACTCGGGCCAAAGCTTCCTCCGCAGTCACCGGATCTGCGCAACCCCATCCACCTCCACCGTCCGTTGCACCTCACGATCCATACACCCACCTACTTTCCTCTGGCGAGACTCGGCTTCCTTGCGAAGAGCGTGCTGTCCAAGATCTTCGCAGCCTCACTACATCGGCGGATCTTCCGGATCGAGTTGGAACACCCGGCTTTGCATCAAGTGCCACAAACCTTGCATCCGATCACTCTCGACCTGGCTTTGACGACAAGATCGTAAAGTAGGCAATCCATTTCTCGGCCAAGCAAGCGCAGGCATCGAAGTCCAAGCTTGCCGCACCAGTAATCGGCAACTACGTCGTTCCTCCTTTCGAGCAGCTCACAGAGTTCGCACAGCAGCGGCTCTTTTCATAAAACGCACGGTCGAGTCGACAACCCGCGACAGCCGCCTCATAGCAGCTGCAGCCTTCCATCCGCAGCATCTCAGGGGATTCAGTCACTCGAGACTCTGTCCAGCCACCGTTCTGCTAGCTTCTGCGACGTCAGTACTACGCCTGCACCAACCACACACGCTCATCACGCAACAGCATCAGCTTCGGCACAGCTTTCAGGCACCATGAGCGATCGAGCCGTTCCAGCGATGGAAGAGGAAGTCGACTACGAGGGTCTCGGCAGCAACGTGCCTCTGCACATCAACATGATTGCGGGCTCGCTCGCAGGTATCAGCGAGCACGCCGTCATGTTCCCTGTCGACGTCATCCGCACACGCATGCAGGTGCTTTCCGCCACACCCGCTGCCACGTACACCGGCGTCGTGCAGGCATTCAACCGCATCAGCACGTTGGAAGGAGCACGCACGCTCTGGCGAGGAGTGGCGAGTGTCATCATGGGCGCGGGACCAGCACACGCAGTCTACTTTGGCACGTACGAGACCGTCAAGGAGGCTACGGGCGGCAACCGCGAAGGACACCAGTTTGCGAGTACAGCGTTCGCAGGCGCATCGGCCACCATCGCCTCGGATGCGTTCATGAACCCATTCGATGTGATCAAGCAGCGCATGCAGATGCACGGCTCGCAGCACCGCACCGTCATGCAGTGCGCCTCCACGGTGTACAAGCAGGAGGGCCTGCGCGCATTCTACGTCTCGTACCCCACCACGCTCACCATGACCGTGCCTTTCACAGCAGTCCAGTTCTCCGTCTACGAATGGGCAAAGAAGGTGCTCAACCCGTCCGAGGGCTACTCGCCGCTCACGCACGTCTCGGCCGGTGCCTTCTCGGGTGCCGTGGCTGCCGCGGTGACCAACCCATTGGACGTGGCCAAGACGCTGCTCCAGACCCGAGGCAGCAGCACCGATGCGCAAATCCGCAACGCCTCGGGCATGTTCGAGGCGTTCAAGATCATCAACGCCCGCGAGGGCCTCAAGGGTTTCGCGCGTGGTCTCTCACCGCGCGTGCTCACGTTCATGCCGTCCAACGCACTCTGCTGGCTCTCCTACGAGGGCTTCCGATTCTTCCTCAACGAGCAGAGCAAGGCTTCCGTCTAAGCCGGCCTTCTGGCATTGTTGCCACCACAAAACTTCATAGACTGCTCGCACGCCAAGCGCGTCGATGCACATTCCCCACCGCGCGTGTTATTCTGCACCATCCGTCCTCGCATTCGCAGCCCGAGCGCAACCACATCTGCTGTTTTGTGCGCAAGAAAGTCTCAGCATCCGAGTCATTGTCGTTCCCGTCCGCGTCGTCCGTGTCGAGTGATGGAGATGGGAGTTTTGCGATGCATACAAATACATGAAATGGTGGGTGTTGAACCAAAGTGCAATCAAGGATCAACGGCGGCCACTGGAACGGCCGAGGTACTGATTTCCAAGGTTGGAGATGGCGTCCACCATGAAGGTGCCCTTTGGCCAAGGTATGGAGGAGCCAGATGTGCCTGGGAGGGAAATATTGAGAGCGGCAGGAGCGAGGCTGCCCAGGCTGTTTCCGACGGCTGCAGCGGGTCCCGATCCGGCGGTGGCAGCTGATGCCTTGCGTGCGCGTGCGGTGGCATGAGCGGCGGCGACGATCTCGTTGATGTTGGTCTCGACCACCAAGCCGCCTTGGATGACTTCGTTGAGGATGGCGTGCACGTGGTCAAAGTGGAAGATGAGGTCGAGCTCGCACACGTTCTCGAAGCACCGGTCGAGACTCTCGACGAATACTTGAATGAGATCGAGGATGCCTAGTTCGCTCTCGCTCTGATCGACCACAAAGACAAAGTACAGCGTGGCGTAGTGGCGATAGATGACACGCAGCTGGTCCTGGTTGTTTGAGCTAGCCGATGAAGATGAGGCGGTGTTGTAAGCAGGCTTGTCCACCTGCTTGCCTTTGCTGCCTCCAAGCGCGGAGGAGAAGCGCACCGCGTCGGCCGGCGGCGGGAGCAGAGCCGTCAGCTCGGTCGCATCGAGAAAGTTGCAGACGCCATCGGGACGTTTCGACACGAGCCGGAAGATCTCCTTGATCAGCGCCTGCTGGCGAGACGCCGGAAGCTGCGTGTAGAACTTGGTCAGTCGAGGTTTGCCGTGATTGTTGACGATCAGTGCCGCGCGTATTGTCATTGTGACTGTTTCCTGCCAAATGCGGGCCCTTCAGTGAGGGTAGCGACCTTGCGTTGTGCTGTTCAGACGCTGAGCGAGGATGCGAGTTGCCAGCAGCCGACGGCAGATCCGACGGTTGATCCGACAAGCCGAGCTGGGCTTTTCACAACTGGCTGTGGGTGCTCCGGGCAACCGTGGGAAGCGGGTCGGCCTGGCAATCGATCGAGAACACCAGAAGAGTCGTCTCGCGATGTGTGCTTCGGAACCAGTCGCGGTGATGGCTTGCGGCTGTCCTCTTGTCGTTGAGAGTGCGGATGACAGGATGCAGCTGAGCTTGGATCAGAGAGTGTCGATTTCCGAGAGGTGTGCAAAAGTGGAGTTCGAGCGAGCCCGAACAGAGCCACGCGCTGCTTCCAGCCAGACCCTGTCCACGGGCCCAGGCTTTTGGTGAAATGATTGGATGGGCACCGACGCTTCTTCTTGCAATCTGCGCTGCAGCGTCTCCACACTCTGGCTGGCGTGACCTTGCATTCTCGGTCTGCAAACTTTGGCATTCCTCCTTCTCTCCGCCAACCTCATCCGCAACAACTCGCCGCCTTTTCTCCTGGCCTCAGCATCGATCGTCATCATGGGTTTCCGCAGCGGCTTTGTCATTTCGAGCACCTCGTTCCTCTTTGGTAAGTGCTTTTTGGCTCTGAAGTGGTCTTAGCGCACGATCAGCCACGTTCCGAAGGTCAGGTACTCATCTGCTCCTTCTTGCCCGTAACAGGAATCATCTTCATTGCGTCGATCTACGACTTTCCGCTGCTGTACTTCTCGTCGCTCTCGGACTCGGCGGTGGAGGCGGCGGAGCGCTTCTACCTCTCGCTCTTCCATGCGCCCGTCGCCGTCTCGGCGCTTCTGCACGGCATGATCGGCCTAGGCCTCATCGGCCTCGTTGCCAAGCTGCACCGTTGGAGCGAGATGGCCAAGTACTTTGACGGCGGCTCGCTCGTCCTCTTCATGGGTGCCGTCTGCATGTACCTCGGCGTGGCCGTGCCAAACCTTCGCCTCATCTCGGACCCCACCAACCTCAAGCTCCTCCTCTCGTCGGCCATCCAGACCCAGCGCCAGTCGCAGCTCGAGGCTTTCGAAAAGGGCGAGTCCGACTTCAAGCCCTCGGACGGCCCCATGACCCAGGACGAGAGGGTCGCTGCTATCCGAATCGTTTCGGCCAGCAACAGCATTTGCGCCGTCCTCCTCCTCGGCGTGCTCGTCCTTCAGATCAGCGAGTGGTACCTCGAGCGCCAGGAGGCCATCGAGGCTGAGAACAGGCGCAAGAAGCAGGCCAAGGAGCTTGCCGACGCCAAGAAGGACAAGTGAATGCACATCCACGCAAGGCTTTGCAACGTGTCTGCCACCAAGCTACGCAATCTGCGCATTCTCGCGGACTTCCCGATCGCCTCGGCCACCATACACACCTGTACAGTGTTGCTCTGTTTGCAGCGCACGAGATCTTTGGAATCCATTCCTTGTCAGCGACGCATCTGCCCAGCCTATTGAGTCGTGCCTGGCATCGCGCTCCATCGCACTCAGCGGCTCGACGCACATTTGACTCCAGACCCGCACCAAGCAGGGGAGAACAACACAAATCAAAATTGAGATCTCTTCAACACGAATCTGTGGGCACTGGCCCTCGGAACTGAGCTTCTAGGACACTGCCAACGCTTTTAGGCGTACAGGTCGTCGTCGCCGGCGTCGTCGTTGCCGAAAGCAGCGCCGCCGCTGCCGCCAGCACCACTGCCACCGGCGGCTCCGGTCTGGCCGGGGTTCTGGCCCTCGGGGAAGCGGAACGAGGTGCCGAACGAGCGGGCCGACTGCAGGTTCTGCGCAAACAGCTCGTAGCGGCGGATGTCGCCATCCGAGACGGACCTGCGCGCGAAACGCATCGCCTCCTCAAAGTGGGCACGCGTGATCTCGGGCACCGGGTCCTCCTCGTCCTCCTCGGCGGCAGCAGTCGCATCCTCTTCCNCCTGCGCGCGAAACGCATCGCCTCCTCAAAGTGGGCACGCGTGATCTCGGGCACCGGGTCCTCCTCGTCCTCCTCGGCGGCAGCAGTCGCATCCTCTTCCATCTTGACCTCGCCCTCGGCGTTGGCCTCCTTGGCGGCCATGCGTTCGCGCTCGCGCTTGATATCCGCCTCGATCGACTCGCGGATGGCCAGCTTGGCTGCACGCTGGCAGATCTCGGCCAGATCGGCACCGGAGAAGCCGTGCGTGTGCTTGGCCAGGAACGTCAGGTCCACGTCGGCGGCGATCGGCGACTTCTTGAGCGTCGCCTTGAGAATCGACAGACGCGATGGCTCGTCTGGAAGCGGGATGTAGATGAGCTGGTCAAGACGTCCGGGACGCAGGATGGCAGGGTCGATCTGGTCCGGTCGATTGGTGGCGCCGATGATGAAGACGTTCTTGCGCGAGCTGACACCGTCCATCTCGGTGAGGATCTGGTTGATCACACGGTCACCCGCTCCTCCACCGTCGCCGGACGAAGAGCCACGCGCCTTGGCGATGGCGTCGAGCTCGTCGAAGAACATGACACAGGGTGCCGCGGCACGCGCCTTGTCGAACACGTCTCGCACGTTCGCCTCCGACTCACCGAACCACATGGTGAGCAGCTCGGGACCCTTGATCGAGATAAAGTTGGCCTGGCACTCGTTGGCGATCGCCTTGGCCAGCAGCGTCTTACCAGTACCAGGAGGACCGTAGAAGAGGACACCCTTCGAAGGCGCCATGCCGTATTTGAGGAACTTTTCGGGATGCTCGACGGGGTACGAGACGGTCTCCTGCAGCTCCTGCTTGACCTTCTCGAGACCACCAATGTCGTTCCAGGTGGTGGTGGGCACCTCCACCACGGTCTCGCGCAGCGCCGATGGGTTGGAGACACCAAGGGCGAAACGGAAGTTCTCCATGGTGACGCCGAGCGAGTCGAGCACCTCGGCATCGATCGTGTCCTCGTCGAGGTCGATGAGATCCATCTTTTCACGAATCTGCTGCATGGCAGCCTCGGAGCAGAGCGCGGCCACGTCCGAACCGACGTAACCGTGGGTCTCGGCGGCGATCTGCTCGAGGTCGACATCCTCGGCGAGCTTCATGTTCTTGGTGTGGATGCGCAGGATCTCGAGTCGGCCGGTGGGGTCGGGGATGCCAATGTCGACCTCGCGGTCGAATCGGCCGAAACGACGAAGTGCGGGGTCGATCGAGTTGGGTCGGTTGGTGGCGGCCATGACGACAATGTTGGATCGAGCCTTGAGACCGTCCATGAGCGTGAGGAGCTGCGAGACGACACGTCGCTCCACCTCACCGTTGGTCTTCTCACGCTTGGGCGCGATACTGTCGATCTCATCGATGAAGATGATGGCAGGGCTGTTCTTCTCGGCCTCCTCGAAGGCCTTGCGCAGGTTGGACTCGGACTCTCCGGCCATCTTGGACATGATCTCGGGTCCGTTGATGAGGAAGAAGAAGGCGCCGGTCTCGTTGGCGACGGCTCGGGCCATGAGCGTCTTACCGGTACCTGGAGGTCCGTACATGAGGACACCACGAGGAGGCTTGATGCCGATCGACTTGAAGAGCTGGGGGTGACGCAGGGGAAGTTCGACCATCTCGCGAATCTGGGCCATCTGCTTGCGGCAACCGCCAATGTCGTCGTAGCCGACATCGGCAAGGTTGGCCTCCTCGTCCTCGCGCTTGACGGGGTCGCCCTCGGTGTGGATCACCGTGTCCTGAGCGACGATGCAGAACTCGGCAGGGTCGGTCTCGATGACCTTGAACTCGACCGCGCGCATACCACCGCGGACGGTGAAGGTGTCACCCTTGCGGACAGGGCGGTAGGCCTCAAGGAAGTAAGGCTTGAGGTAGACATCGAAGATGTTACCGGTAAGACCCTCGATGCTGTCGTCGAAAGGAAGGACGTGGATGCGCTTGCCGTACTTGATGTCATGGCAGGCGTGCACCGAGACGAGATCGCCGAGCTTCACGCGCAGGTTGTTACGTGCGACCTTGTTGAGGCGCACCTTGCCGTCCTCGACGGATTCGTCCGAGAGGACGATGAAGCAAGAGTCGCGGCGCTTCTTGCCTTTGACGATGGTGGAGTCGCCGCGGAAGAGGCCGAGCTCCTCCATCTTTGCAGGCGAGATGCAAATGACAGAGTTGTCATCCGTGGTAGCCTCTTCCACGAAAAGGCGGTTGGGAGATTTCTTCTGGCGCAGGATGGCGGTAGCAGCATCCTTGTCGTCGGCCGCCTCGGGCTTGGGCGGGTTGCCGGCCGAAGGGTTGGAAGGCGTGGGGTCCGACATGACGAGAGTTGGACAGTTGTGGTGGTTGAGCAAGAAGATGGCCAGGAAGAAAGCGCAAGGTGGAGGCTGCGTTGTGCAGCCGCGCGGCGTGGCTGCGCTCTGTTGCACTGCTGCGCCAGCACTCAGCCAGCGCTCAGCCCCGCAAACGCGCAGGCGCATGCGCAGTAATCCGATCACTGCCCAGCCGTGGCTCGAGCGCGTTCATGTGGAGGCGGAAACGATCAAAATCACAAGATCGCCGGTCTAACAAATTTTCATTGAGCCATGGCGTTCTATGGACAAGTGGACAAGTGGCGCTCAATCCTTCCGGTCGTTGAGATTGTGCATGGGAAGGCTCGAACCGTCCTTGCTTCCCGACGACGAGGAGCCGTTGGAAGCAGAGGTTCCTGCGAGTTTGGCGGCCTCTGCCTGCTTGTTCTTGCCGACGGCATAGACGAGACCGGCGAAGAAACCGACAGAGATGGCGCTGACGCTGGAGAAGGTGACGGGAGGGTCATGGAAGAAGACCATGCCACTGAGGGCGACGGGAAGCTTGTTGAGCGCACCGACCATGCTGTAGGTGGTACTGGAGGTGGCACGGATGCACCAGGCGGTGGTGTAGCTGATCAGGATGGCGCAGGCGCCCGAAAAGACGATGGCAGAGATGAGCTTGGTCTGCTTGTCGTCCGGGAAGTTCTTGTGCAGGTTGGCGGCCGACCAGTCCTCGACGAGGAAGGACATGACGAGGAGGACAGGGATGCTGAGGAAGTTGTTGTAGAACATCGTGTCCCAGTCCTTGAAGCCGGTGACTTTGATGCGCTTGCGCATGAGAAGGACATAGGTGGCGCTGCAGATGCAGTTGAGCGCCATCCAGAGGTAGCCGCTCGAGAGGAGGCCGTAGCCCTGGAAGCCTTCAATGACGTCGTTGGCCGAAGCACCCTGGATCTGTGCAGCGATGGCGTCCTTTTCCGCCTTGAGCGGGTCAAAAGCGGGGATGAGGGCGCCGGTGTTGGGATCTTTGGACATTCCTCCTGCGATCGAGTCGGGCGTGTGCGGCATGGAGAGGTTGCCGATCGCAAACACGTTGGAAATGTCGGACCAGGCGGCGATGATGGACGAGAGAACCATGAGGAGGAAACTCGAGAGTACGATGCGGGTAACGCGGCCGCCGAACCAGAGAACCTCTCCGTAGGCGATGAGGATGATGGTGAGGTTCTTGAAGATGGTGTAGACCGAGATGTTGAGGTACTGCAGCGCCTTGCTGCCCGTCCAGATGACAAAGACGAGCATAGTACTGAGCGGCATCCAGTTCCAGACGTCACGAGAGTTGAGGCCGCGCAGCTGGATCAGGCCGGCACGCTCTGCGATCATGACACATGTGACGCCAACGGTGGACTGGATGAGCAGGACGAGGAGGTTCATGTTGAAGCCGGCGCCAGAGACGGTGAATTTGTTGACGACGGTCATGGTGATACTGGCAGCGCAATAGCTGAGGATGGGCGCCAGGGCCATGACACCCACCGCAGGCTTGTCTGCATCGTGGCGCAAAGCCTTTGCACCCATGCGGACGTCTTCGCGCGAACCTTCGCCGCCATTCAGGAAAGGGGCGCGGTCGTTCTCGGAAGGACTCGCTGGTCTTGTGATATCGGGCGTTTGTGTCGCTGCACCATGGGGCAAGTCGACGCGCGTCTCTTGCGGCGCAAAGAAGGATCTGTTGCCGGAGGCCATCTTGACGGCAAGCTGGAATGGGAGGTGTGGGAGACCTTGATGCCTCTCCGGATGAAGTGGAGAATGTAAGGAACGAAGATGGTGGCAGCAGCGAAGGCCGGAGCGCAAGCTGTTGACTCCTGGAGAGAAGCTTTGGTTCCGTGCTGGGTGGGAGGAAGGAATCGCAGCCAAGCCGGTCCGCTGCGCAGAGATTGCTATCGCTGAACGAACTTTATCGAGCGGGCGGAAGATGTCGCGACGTGCCGCAGGCGAATCAGCGTTGCTCTGGTCGTCGGCAGCTGACAATGGATCCGGTTGAAGGCATGCAAGAAGGACGATGTGTAAACGCACGATGGTTCGGACCGGAGCGCGTTGATTGTCGTGGTCGACACTGCCTTCAGATTCCCTGCCGACTTTGGAAGGAGCCGCGTTGCGTGTGTGTGTGTTGCTGTGGGAGCGGAGCGGCGGGCGTTGCTTGGGCCGCATGGCTGGCCCACGCTGTGTGGGCCCTGGAGTCCCTTCCCTGCCCGTACCAGGCCATGCAGGGCGTCGTGCGGTTTATTGGAAATTTGAGCGCAGAGTCGCCGAACGCCGAGCCGCTCGCCACACGCAGCTCCGCCGAGGCCACACAGGGCGCAACCAGCTCCGCATAAACCTCGCCGAGGCGGGAGAGGCTTCGCAGCTGCCAAATCTCGCTCCAGCCGTTTCCGTGGACAACAAATGTGAGACCGTCCTTTAAGCACAGTCAAAAACTTTATCGATGTGAAGTCAGTCTGATGCTAACAACGAAGGCAAAGGCGGTTAGCGTCTCGCTCGGCCCGACGGAGGGAAACGCGGCGGCAGCAGGCCGTTTCAGCCGCGTGAGCGCCTGACATCTCGGCGTATCGCGCGTATCGACTCGCGCCTAGCGTCTCCTGCTGGGCTCTTTTCCCTGCCCGCAAGGGCTAAACGAGCCTTAGCATGGGTACGCAGCCAAGAAATTTCGAGCTGTCGGAAATGCCGTAAGTCGAAGGCTCGTCTCGCCCGCCAAGCCCTCATCGCTGCCAATGAGCGCGTCTCTGGTGCTTACAGTAGTTACCCGCAGAAAGTGACGTTTCAATGGCCAGCGGCAGATCCGCATCGGAAGGTTTCCGGGCCGCTCCTCAAGTCGCAACGCTCGAGACGCCTCACATCCTACGCTAGACGACCACACTACTCGGCATCGTGCTTCGGCATCTCCTACGGCATATAAGGCGTCGACCCACGCCATCCTGATTAGTGTTTGGATCCCAACATACAAACCTCCATTCCTCTTGAGCAAGATCTCAGTCTCAAAGCTTAGATACACCAACACCTCGACTCCATCACCAGCGTCTCGGCTTGGCCTCGATGACGAATGCCATATTCCCTCCCTCGACTGTAACGCAGTTCTGGCATCTTCCCTTCCCTCCCGACATCACATCCGACGCTGCATCGATTCGCGAGCACTCAGTCCCGTGACGTCGCTCCCAAGATCGACTTTTCCTAAAGGCACCCTCAAACTCTGGCGTTTGAACAGCAATTCTCATCCCACCTACTGATGGGTGTTGGTCATTCGGCAAATGTCACGAAGTCAAGACCAGCATGACGCGCTCCGCGGAGCAGCTGCATCGGCCGTCCCAGCCGACCACCATGCCAGCGCCGGTGGTGATCTTGAACAGCTGAGCCCGGGCCTCGCCACAACGTGCGAGCCCTCGATCCGCGACTCGGAAGACGCCCAAGATGAAGATCCCTTCCTCGTCAACTTCGAGTATCAGGATCCCGCCGATCCACGTACCTTTGCGACGTGGCGGAAGATCCAGATCCTCTTCGTCACCATGCTCCTCGAGTTCTGGGTCAACGTCATCTCCTCCATCTACTCCTTTGGAGCGCCCGAGGTGGCGACCGAATTCGGCATCTCCGCCGTGGCCGCCCGCGTACCAGCTGCGGTCTTCCTGTTTGGATTTGCTGTCGGTCCTGTCATCTGCGCCCCCCTCTCGGAAGACTACGGAAGGGTGCCAGTCATGATCATCGGCCTCGTCGTCGTAGCACTCTTTCAGATCGGATGTGCTCTGGCGAATGGACTCGCAACACTCGTTGTCCTCCGCTTCCTCAGCGGCTGTTTTGGCGCGGTGGCCTTCAACTCGATCGGCACCGTCTCTGACCTGTGGGATTCCGACAACCAGGGTTGGGGCGTCAACACCTTTGCACTCTCTGCCGAAGCCGGTGCGACAGTGGGCCCCATCATTGGCGCCTTTGTTGTTCAGGATGCGGGCTGGAGGTGGACATTTGGCGTTTCAGGAATCGTGCTCGCTTTCCTGACCGCACTTTTTGCCCTGACCGTCCCCGAGACGCGAGCGGGCGTCCTGCTCAGCAGGAGGGCGAAAAAGCTGCGCAAGTCCCAGAACGAGCCGCGCTACTACGCAAGCCATGACAAGCTCCGTTCCGAACACACGGTCACAGAGCTCTTCAAGGAAACGGTCGGGCGACCGATTCTCATGCTCTTCACCGAGCCTATTGTCTTCTGGTTCGCCCTCTTCGACGGCGTCAACTATGCGGTCATCTACATGTTCTTCGAGGCGTATCCGCTCATCTTTGTCGAGTATGGCTTCACCATCGGTCAGCAGGGCCTCACCTTCTTCGGCGTCCTTATCGGCTTCGTCATCGCCTACTTCCTCTTTGCGCTGCAGATCAAGTGGTTCCACTATGCAGGCAGCAAGAGACCGGGCGGAGTGCCCACGCCAGAAGACCGACTTCTGTGGGGTATTCCCGGTGGCATCCTCTTCCCGATCAGCCTCTTCTTCTTTGCGTGGACGTCGTTCCCGCCAATCCCGTGGATCGTGCCGGTGATCGCGGGTGCTCTATTTGGCATCTCGTCGCACTCGCTCTTCCTTATCGTGTCGGACTACACGGTGAGCTCTTACTCGATCTACGCTGCATCTGCCATAGCGGCGCAGTCGTTCCTGCGCGAGTTTCTCTCGGGCGCCTTTACGCTCATCACCGAACCCATGTATCACAACGTCGGCTACCAGTGGGCCACTTCGATCCTCGCCTTCACCGGTGTGCCGTTGTCGGTGATCCCGTTCCTGTTCTACAAGTTCGGACCCACCATCCGCAGACGCAGCAGCTTCGCCAAGGAGCTCCAGCTCGTCGAAGAGAAGGAGAGGAACCGTCGCGCCAAGCTCGAGTCACGCGCAACCACGCTCACCAACAACGCCGCCGCCGAAGTCAACCTCAAGACACGGTAACTCTGCTCCGCCTTGTTCATGTCATGGGCTTCTTTCGCTGTCGTCACTTAACGTAATTACAGTGGTTCCGACGCATA